TCTATCATCTATCTATCTATCTATCTATCTATCTATCTATCTATCTATCTATCTATCTATCTATCTATCTATCTATCTATCTATCAATCTATCTGGGTGAAATGAGGACCCAAACTGTGGGGGCGATATGCTGACTCTGTAAACCACTTAGAGAGGGATGAAAGCCCTATGAAGCGGTATATAAGTCTAACTGCTACTATTGCTATAATTCTGTTGCTCTGCACCCGAGACAAGTTGCCAAATAAAAGTATTCCATTCCGGTCTCCTGCTTGAGCAGGGGGTTGGACTAGAAGACCTTCGAGGTCCCTTTCAACTCTGTTGTTTTGTAAATTCAATTCACCCTTTTATCCTGTATAGTAAATTTGGCTCGCCTTCCTCTTTGGGGGTGCAGACATGGAGCCTGGGGGCCCTTAGGAGGGGGTGGGGGGCTGCAGGGCAGGAGAGAAGGGGGCTGTGTGGTGATATTTGGGGCCACTGCCAGAATCATGGGGAGGGGGCTAGTCAAGTCTGGGTAGAGACTGGCCAGTGGAGAGAGGTGGGGTCTCTTGGGCAGTAGAGCCCCCTTTCTTAGAAGAGGGAGGGGCTGCCTTTCCTAGCCAGGAGAAAATCTGGGAGGGGGGGTTGCACAACCATCCCCCACCCCCACCACAGAGCAGCCGAGGGAGGGAGGGGCCGTTTGGGGCTCCTCGTTGGAGCATGAATGAATCAAAGCGTGAATGAAGCAGCCAGGGAGGGTGACTCAGCTTCCATCAACACCCCCTCCCCCACTGCGGAACCTGAGTCCTTTTGGGAGCGGCCCCCCTGGTGGCCCACGGCCGCCTTATCGGAAACCTCCCCATCCCCTCCACCTACCTCACCCCCGTGATTTACGGCCCATCTGTCGGCTGGCTGTCCTCTGCAGGAGTGTCCTTCAAGCGAGGGGACGAGGCCAACTGGAGTACCGTTCCCTGGCGGGGGGAGGGGATGGACGGCTGCAGGGGTGCCCCCCTGGAAGGCGTGGGGGGGTGCATCAAGGGGAGGCCTCTTGGGGGCTGTGGGTGCAGGCGTGTGGGGAGAAGGGCATTGCAACGGCTGGGGAGACGGGACAGGTTGCAGAATGTGCCTTTGGCATCCTTAGCCTGGCACAGCTGCCAATGTCATGGCAAACGCTTACAGAATGCAGAGGGACAGAGTGGGATGGGACCTTGGAGGTCTTCTAGTCCAGCCTGACTGATTTTTGTAGCCGCTTATCTCAATCAGCTGATGCACATCATTAAAAACGAGCTAACAAGTCTAATTTTGGGGCAATAATTCCAGCTGGTTGACTCTGGCCCTTCACTCTCATTTGGAACAGGGTTGGAAGGGATCTTGGTGGTCATCTAGCCCCCCCCTTCTTGAGCAGGAGACCCTACTCCATTTCGGACAAGTGGGGGGGGGGTCTTAAAAACCTCCAGTGATAAGAGCACCCACGACTTCTGAAGGCAAGCTATTCCCCTGGTTAACAGAAGAACAGAGTTGGAAGGCACCCCAGAGGTCTTCTAGTCCAACTCTCTGCTCAAGCAGGAGACCTTTCAAACAAGTATATTGGAGGGGCTGCCACAGGGAGGAGTTGGGGGGGGTCGAGCTATTTTCCAAAGCCCCCCAGACAAGGAATAACAGATGGAAATGGATCCAAGGAGAGATTCAACTTGGAAATAAGGAGGAATTTCCTGACAGTGAGACCAGCAATCAACCCATGGAAGAGAGGTTCCCTTCGGAAGTTGTGGGAGCTCCATCCCTGGAGGCTTTCAAGAAGGGACTGGATGGCCATCGGTCAGAAATGGTGTAGGGCAATGTTTCTCAACCTTGGCGACTTTAAGTCCTGTGGACTTCAACTCCCAGAATCCCCCAGCCAGCGAGAGCTGGCTGGGGGATTCTGGGAGTTGAGGTCCACAGGACTTAAAGTCGCCAAGGTTGAGAAACACTGTTCTTAATCGATAAAAGTACTGCAAAAAAATATAAATAAATGCAAAATGCAGCCTTCCAAGCCACGTGAAGCCAGCCTGGCCGAGGCCATTCGGAGGCTTCAGTGCTGACCGTTGACTCCTGGCTGTTTTCCATGCGGCCTCCCTGTGGTCCAGTGAACAAAATCCGGATGCTCAGCAACCAAATCCTATTTATGACGGTTGCAACCACCTGGGATCCCTTTTCCGATTGTCTGAGACGCAAAGTCCATGGGGAAGCCAGATTCACTTAGCAATTGTGTTGCTGACTTAACCACTGCGGGGATTCGCTTAACAGCTGCGGCAAGAAAGGTCGTAAACTAGGATAAAAGCCGCTTAACAACGGTCTTGCTTAGCAACAGAAATTTTTGGGGCTCACTTGTGGTGGTAAGGGGAGGACTGTTGTGACTCAGCAGCAGTCTTCTGTGAGTCTTTTCGGGATGCAAGTTTCACAATGCAGCTGGGGCTGGTTAGTGGGTCTTTGAGGGATAAAAGGACGGATGGTGCCACGCCCTAGTTGCAGGAGTCAACGTTCCTTGGTTCGCTCAATATTGATGGATCATCAATCGTCGTTTATGTAAGATACACTTGGAGAAGTGCTTTGTTTTCTGTAACCCTGATTCTTAAGAGACTTTGGGAGAAGTGTTTTGCTTTCGTTTTGTTCAACTTGTGTTGCCGTAAGAAAGATTTGTTTTTCGTTCCGTTATCTGGTCAGATATTTTATTTATGTTATTTTTGGGCTCGAAGCCAGTCTGAGCCAAGAACTGATAAAGAAAGTTCCTTTTAAGTTTGTCTGCTTTGTTAATGAGCGGAGAAGGGGGGACAAAACAGAGGACTATCTATATTTGTGCTAATAAATCGAAAGAAATGGCTTTTGTATGTCACCTATTCTGAAATACCAGCCTTTCTTTGCAATAATTTCATTTATTTATTTATCTATCAAACAGTGTAAGTCAGTGTTTCTCAACCTTGGCAACTTGAAGATGTCCGGACTTCAACTCCCAGAATTCCTCAGCCAGCGAATG